ATACTTTATTAATTACTATAATTAAAGCAATTTATTACGCATAATTATTAAAATAACCTTTATTTATTATTTATATATTTTAATAAAATAATTAACCTTTAACCTCTTAATAATAATTTAAGCCTTTTTATATACCTACCTTTTATAAATACTTAATATAATTAAATAAGCATATATTTTTAATTAATTTAATTAATTAATAAATTTAAACTTAATAATTTTAAGTTTAATTTAACTTCTTTTTCTTATATACTTTTTAAAGATATATATTAATTACTTAATTAAAGATTGCTAATATAATTATAAGCATATTATAAAAAGATAGCAGCACTAAGCATAATAAGCATTATAAGCAATTAACATTAAAGCATTAATAGGTAAGGGTTATATGCAGCAATATATAACTACCCTTAAATAATTTATAGCTAAAGGAAGGTTTTGCAACTCATAGCTATAACCTTTCTTTCTTTTATATAGCTAATTTAAATATAACTAGTTTGCTATTAACTAACATATATTAACCCAGCCAACAATATTGCTAATTAATAAAAATATTTTTATTAAGGTTATTAAAGTTATATATTAAATATAAGTTAAGAAAAATATAAGGTAATAATAAAAATAACTTACTTAATTAATAATAATAATTAAGGCAAGGTAAAATGCTATAAATGCATAATAATAATAAGTAATTAATATTATAGCTATATAATAAAGTTATTAAAGGAAGGTTATAATATTTTATAATTATAATATAAAAGAAACTTAAGCATAAAATAATTATATTATAATATAAATTAAGATTAAAAAATTAATAGCTTATAATTATTATAATAAGTAAAATAATAATAAGCTAAGCATATAGCTAATATACGTTGCATTTAATGCATATTATAATATAACGCTAACTTAGCGCATTATAACGCTATAAAATGCATAAATGTTAATAAAGTAAGGTAAGGATATGCAGCTTATACTTTCTTAATTAAGCATAAATAGGCCCCGCTATAATTAATATATATAGCTTATATATAATTATAATATATTAATAAAGAATTATATATATGGTAAATATATAATTAATATAAAACTATAAAAGCCTTAGGTTTAATTCTTGCTATGCGTAATATAAGAGCGGAAAGGGGGCTATATAATAAGCTTAAGCTATTGCTTAAGCTATAATATATACTTATGCTAAGCCTATATTATACTGAATCCTTTTATATAATAAGGTATATACTTAAAAAATAAATTTAAAATTAAGCTCTTTTAAAGCTTAACTTACTTTTTAAATATTATAATTTATAACTCCTTTTAAGTATTTTTCAGCAAACGCTTAAAGCTAACTTATAATAAAATAATAAAAAGTTAACTTATAATAAAAATATAAATAATTTATATAACTTAAATTATATAATAAAAATATATAAATATAACATTTAATAATATTAAATTAAGTTAAGTTAATAATTAAAAATAATTTTATTTATAATAATAAAAAATTATACAATATTAAACTTAATAATATTAATATAAATAAATGTAATTTAATATTAAAACTTTTAATATAATATTAATTTATAAAAGTAAATTAAATAAATATTATTTAAAGCTTTATATAATAAATTTAATTATAATTATTTATAATTTATATTATTTCTTATTTTATAAAAATAATTATTAATATTTTAACTAAAAAATAAATTTTAAAAATATAAGTAATTTATATTTAATTATTTAATTATTAATTTTATATTATTTTTATTAATAATTTTAATTTATAATATTATTAAAAACGGGTTTTATTAGCTTTATTTATATAATTATTATAAAGTTATTATTATTTTCTTAATTATAAGTTATAATTATATTTAAAACTTATTATTATTAATATTATATTATTTTTTAATATTAATTATTTAAGCATTTATTATTATATAAAGGGATTAAATATAGATTGCTTAGGAAGTATATATATATACATTAAAAATAAGACTATTTATTATATTTAACCGGGCTTGTATCTTCTTAGATGCGGTTTAACTGCGAACCGATGAATCCCGGACCATAGATTGTGTAAGCGCCCAATGTAGTAAGGGAATGGGGGGTGGAGGGGCGCTCGCAACATCAATAAGAGCTGACGGGTGACCTGGACTGTATAATTTCCCTAGCATAAACCATGTGCCCACCTACCTAGGTACCAATTTGCTTACCAAAGCTGTATTTGCGCATACTACCCACGTTTAGAGATACAGAACTTGGAATCATCCCCACCTGTTGTCGTCGAGACGGTGCATTGTTCCGTACAGGGAGCGCCAACGCGGAAACCGGAACGGCCGATTCCGCTGGAGCCGCAGTCGTTAGAGACCACCAAAACGTAGCCTCGGATTCGCATTCAAAACCTGAAGTACAAGTCATCAGCACTCAGCTTGTCATAGACATGGTTAAGCATGAGTCCCGGACAAGATAATATAGCCTATAGTCCGAGCCTATCTAACCGGAAGCCTGATAGCGGAAGGGAAATTTACACTCGTCCCTGCCTTCGAGTAATTCTAATCTAGCAGGCTCACCTCAGATCCACCCGATCTCAGCAGACACTCCCTTCACGTGAACCTGCTTGAGTCTTTCGAAATTGACGACCTCCCCTACCAGAAAAGTTCCAAGGCACGTCACACAACGCATGTCGTTGACGTCCACCCGCGCTGTCTCAACCATTGCGTCAAAACAATCTCGACAACAGACAAGCGCACGAGGCTAAAAGTATGCGATCTCCCTCCTCTTCCCAGCAGGTGGGACGTATAATGTCGTTGTTATTAATGTTGTAATTAAGGCGCGTGATGATCTCAGAGGCCATGTGGGTCATCCAGGAAGGATCATGCGCCATCGTGACTTTGCTTGCCGTGCTGGCAATGCCTGCGTCAATACCCTGGGGTAGGTTGAGAAGAGATCAGGACTATCTTCGTTAGGTCATGAGTGAGTTCTGGACCGCGGTTTTCAGACTGTGATTCCATGGATCCTGCAGCCTACTAAGAATTCTGGGGTAGCCCTCCATCCTCCGGAACGATTGTGGAGACTATGGTGATGCTGGGGTGTAGGACTTCGTCATCGGACCCGGCGTCAACTTTGACGGGCCCTGTGGGGTACAAATTTTGGCTCACTCTCCTGAAGTTGGATTCGTTACTATCAACAAGTCCCTCATTCTCTCGGCTTCAGGAAGCCACAAATTAGGAAGTTTAGAGTGTTCGCATCCTATTTTCCGGTTCTTTTCTAGCTGGAATTAATTATGAAAGCGGATATTCGCAGAGCAAAAAAAAAAAAAAAAAAAAAAAAACGGAGGTCACAAAGGTATCGGTACATACAGCAGGCCGTAGTACACGAACATCTCCCACCACCAAAAACCGCCAGTCAATTTACACATCCACCAAGTTCACACACCAAACTTTCACACTTTTTATATCACTCATTTATGCACCTAATTTTCATGCCGAATTAACCTTAGGTATATAATTAAAATATTTAAATAAGGTATATAAATTAAGTGTGTGAATTAGGCGTGTAAGTTGGTGGGTGTGTGAGTAAATGTACCTTTGTATCCTTTGTTTTTTTGCTGTGTAAATATCCGAGTTCTTAATTATTGCCTCGTTACTTGGTGGAATAACGGAAATGGACACCGAGTCTCTATGGCTTAGCTGAGCCACGCATGTGTTCATTAGCCTGGGCTGGACTTTGCCTTGACTGCACCTACCAGGGGGAAGGGGGGTTTCTGACTAGGTCACGCAATATAGTTAAGTTTTGTAATAATGCCAGCATTAAATTAAATTTTAAAAATTACAGCAAAATATTAGCAAGATATTATATAGTAATTATTAATAAGAAATAATATTTAAAGGAAAACATTATATTAAATTTAATATATATTAAAGTTAACCTTATAATATATTTTATATTATATTATATTAAGCATTTACTTATATTTAAATTATTAATTTAAGCTTTATTTACTTTAAATTAATTTTTATTTTTAAATGTTTCCGTAATTTTATTAATTTTCTTATAATAAATAATTAAGTTAATAAAGAGTAAATAAATAATTTAATTAAGGATAAGGAAAAAAAGAAATATAAAAATTTATATTTATAAAAATAAAGGATATATTTATATATATAGCCCCCTTATTATTGCAGCTAATTAAAGCTTATTATTCTCCCATTAAGCTAATTTACATACCCACTAACTTGCATGCTTAATTCACAGCATGCTTAATATATAACACGCTTAATTTATAACATGCTTAATTTATATATTATACTTAAAGCTACTTTACATAAGTTAAGGCTAGCTAAATATATAAGTTAATTATATAAAATAACTTTAAGCATAATATGCAAATTAAGCATATTGTAAATTAGGTATGCTGTAAATTATGCGCGCAAATTAGGCATGTGAATTAGGTGTGGGCGTCGGGTGTGCAAATCAGCCTTGGGGGGGTGTAAACTGCTATTTCGTGCACTAGGGGCTGTATGTACGGGTGTACCCTCCGTTTTTGCGGGTGCGAATCTCCGTATTAAAAAAAGGGTTTTTTTTTAACCCTTATATCAAGGATTGATATCATGTCACAGCATGTCACAGCATATCAGAAATGACTACATGTTAGTGACGAATAAGTCATGCCAAACACACACAAATTTATACTGTCTATTATGTCGCTATTCCATTGACTTGCTTGCAGCACCTATACGAAAACCCCACCTCCCCCTGGTAGGCAGAGGAGAGCTATGCGTCCACTTGTGCATCACAAGTTGAATTTTGTGTTGGGAATATTCCATTACTGTCGACCGCAACGCCATGTGCTATTTGTCCCCAAAAAAGTAGGTGGTATTGTGCCGCCCAAGTCCTGCCATTGCTCCAGAAGATAAACGCCGTGAAATGCATCGAAACCGCTCTAGGACTAACGCCGGCCGTATGTGTTTTTCCCCTGCTCATTCAGTGTTGATTCAACCTTACTCGTCTCCTTGTTGCGATTCGTAAATTGCCATTGCCCGCTCGATGTCCTCCAAACTGGACTTGTCCCCATAAGCATCCATCAAGACAGTCGATCTCCTCCTTCGGTCCATGTCTTGCTTCTCGAAATCGGCAGTTCGCGACAGGTATGTCTCGATCTGGTTGCGCCTATAGGCAGAGACGCCGTAGCCTGCGAGGACGCATATTAATTCCTGTACAGAACGTGTTACTTTGTTTTGTTCCGCGTCGAGTTTTGGACGAACCTATGCAAACCATTGCGAAAATCGTGGGGACCCATCGGACACCGGCTAGTCCTCGGCGAGCAGCTGTTGTTGTTGCAGCCGAGGGCATAATTGGTGGGTAAACTCGTGTTGTTGCTGAGACGGCACGTCGTGCTGCGGTTGCCAGCATTGCTGCGTGGGTTGCTGGATACGATGTGTAAGGAGATTGATGACTGAAGGTGTGGTTTGAGATATGTGGCTGCTTGTCCGACTCGGGCTTTGGCACGGATTTTTGTCTGTCTCGTGGGTTGAAGTTGAGGTGGTCTTAATGTGTGACGCGAGGCTGCTTTGGTGAAGATGCACGGCTCCTCTTTCCCAGGCGGAGAGGCAGCGTGGTTGTAGGATTCCAGACACATATTTAAGCAATTTTGGTGGCTCCATCTCCAAGGTCGGCGAGGTCGCGAGTTGCATATTGACTCGCATGATTGGCGTTGATCCTGGAGCCACAGGTTGTGTGCAGTCAGGCCACCAGAGCAACAGAACAGCACCGTCAGCCGCCGTGATGGGCCGATCTTGCCTGCAGCTCCACCCCGTGTTTCCGGATCATCCCGGCCAAGCCCCGGCAATGCACGTAATGACCCCTGGACAGCTCCGCCCAGATCCGACGGCTCGGCCTGATGGACAAAATGGACATGATCTTCAGACCACAGTTCGTACGTTGATAATGACTTTTTTGCATTAACACAGTAGCTACTTTAGAAAGACTGCATGTCCTGTGCGACCCCTCTTTTTTTGCGCTGGCCCTAGCATGCTCGTGGGTCAACGTTTCCTCTGGGCATTTTTCTTGTCCATTGGATATCTACATGAGTGGTTTGAGCTTTATTGGAATGGGCTAGTTGTCTTTCATCTATAAGCTACTGCCTTCTGCTCAAGTGCTCACGGCATGCCAATAAAGGCTGGACCGCAGCTGATGCATTGGTGTGTGAATCAATTTCGCCAGACATATCGGGCTACTCCTAAGTCAGCAGGATCTGCTGCATAAGCCACACAAGCCTTTGCACTCCCAGTCACTGCAAGGCCCACCGCCCCACCGCCCTCTTCCACATTCCCTTTACTGTTATATAGCCTGAAAAGGGTCTGTTCTTGTACAATTAAATTGCCATAATACCTTTGGTAACTATAATAGTAAGCAATGCATTGAAGACAAAGCAGGAATTATTGAACTTGAGTTATGAGCCATATACCATGGTATCATACTGAGAAAAAGCGCACGCCTGTCAGGTATCTTTCGGCAGGGGTAGGATCACGCGTTCTGGGACAATTTCACATGAGGTAAACTCTACTGGTATAGCCTCCCGTGCGCATTCTTCCCTTCGGACAGCTTTGAGCAGGACACATCTTGTAGGTTGACTCCAGCATAATAACCTTCTATATCTAGTAGGCAATTGAAGTTGCATTATAGATAGTATCTTTCCTGTCTATGCTTACAGGTTATATGTTATAGGCCTGCCAAGTCCTTAAAAGAAATACTGCGAGCTACACATATGACATGAACACCGTTCCCAAAAAGCCTCTATGATGCTTTCGAGTCTCATTAGCTCTCCGTCTGGTTATCCCTAGCTGTTTTCCAGGCTGCTCTAACAACGATCCTATCCATAGTGGCGCCCGCGCATTGGCAATCCGTATTTGCTAAAGTTGTATGTTTCATTCTGCCACCATGAGGTATGAATTGAAGCCGGCAGATGTGAGCGCCAGTCATGGTCTGCAGCTTACATGCACAGCAAATCCTGAAAAATGTCTCGCAAGACTTAGAGAGCTGGCGGAATGTCGTGCATATCATGATGGTTTCGCATCATGTTGGGTTGGCAGAAATCATTGTCATATGAAGTTTACCATCATTATCCTGCCTACGCTAATATGCGACAAGCTCCTGTGTTATGATTGGTATAGCTGGTCAGAACACTGCCATTTGCCGAGGAACGTGTTCAAGTTTGCTCCGGCAAGTCTCACTCAAAGTGGCCCGTCAGTATGCAGAAGAGTCTGATAGCATAATGGAGCACTGTTATGGCAAGCTATGCCATAGGTCGCCCTAAAAGGGCTTAGCCACTCCATGGAGGAGGTAATGGAGGCCCAGGCCATCAGTCGTGTATAACATTTTGACATCAATGATCCGCACATTTCCAGAAACAGAATCCTAGGAGAACCCCCCCCTCCTTCCCCAGCCCTCAGCTGGTAAACGTGACAACGATAACAATGATATGAATCGTAATGGGATGTTTTGAGAGGGGAGCTTGTGGGACCCTGCAGCATATACAAGGTCTTGTGGTCCTTCGCAACATTTCTGATATGATTATTTCTTTGTATAGTGTGGTATCAACAAAACAGGTGCCTCCAAGCGCAAAAGGAAAACACAGAAGACCTTTTCCAGGGCCAAGCTCTCGAGTTCAAGAAAGCGACCAACGGTACTTTTCGATTTTCACGAACTTCCGACACAATCCTTCACTCACTCCCCCTTGCGAGACCCAGCCTGTTCAGAGTCACCGCTCGAGCGTACAGGGCTGGCAATCTTGGAGAGGCCAGACGACAGAGACTTTCTGAATTTCCCGACAGAGTCTCTCGCCCGCTGGCGCTTGCCTCGTGTAGACGGAGAAACAGAAGGAGTCGAAGGAGTCAGGCCACCGCTGCTCTGCTCAACACTCTGTCTGGCGGAAGTGGTGGGTGGAATGTACTTTCCCGGGGGCGTGCCGATGGCAGGAGGTTCCCGCTGCGGCTCGGCCCCATTCTGTGTGCTGCTCGAATTACACTCCGGTGCTGTCTTGAATGATGCTGGGGATGCCAGGTCGGTATCGTCCAAGTCCGAGAACATGTTTCGCCTCCCAACGGAGATAGGGGCCACATCCACGGGTCTAGTACCGTTGTCGGGCAACGACAGCCCGCGGAACGGCCTCTGAAGACCTTTATTCCATTGTTCCTGGTTGAATTTCCAGAGCGCGACAGTTTCCTCCGGCTTCAACTCCTTCAAGATGCTGCGATATAGTTCGGTTGCTACCCTGTCTTCCTTTTCGGGTGTAAAGAATAGAGCCTCCCACCTCCTTCCTTCCCGCGCCTCGGTTTTGCGCATGGCCCGCTGCCCCTGTTCGATGGCTGATTTGGCCTTGGCTGCGCCCGTCATGTCTCTACGCTGCAAGGCCTCGCGCACAGCCTTCCAGGCGCGTCTGGACTCCCAAGGGTCTTGAGCCCCGGGGTCTTCTTCAAAAAGCTTCAGTGGCGTGGTGGGGAGATCCTGGATGGTGACGGTTTCTATCGACGCCTCCTTTGATACTTCCGCGCCGTTGTAAACCGTGAATGATTCGTTCCAATGGCCCGCGACTGTGTAAAGCGGTTCGTGTCCTGCTGCGCTGTCTCGCCCTGGCCCGAAAATCTTGGCCGACACTTCGTTCTTAGCCCCGCCACTCAGGAGAGATTTCCCACTGAATTCGACGACGGAGTAATACCCAGACGAGCAAGGGATCGTATAAGTCCCCTCAAGCTCAGGGTACGTGCCAGCAAGTCCAGCCAGGAGCCCTCTAACCTTGACATCGGGAAGTGGTATGAGGTAAGTCTCGTCACCGTGTCCTTCTAGGGTGAGCAAAGCATGGCCCAGCTGCCTGATGGTGATATTACCAAGACCGAGTGTGATTTCCTGGCGCGTAAAGCCCTCGGCGAAGACCCCATGTTGCTCGTTCCAGACGCGACAAGCCGTGACCGGTGGGTGATGGGATACCTGCTCAGAAACCAGGGTGGTTTCGCCACTGGCATCTTCCCACTTTGCAAGGAAAACTTCACCGAGAAAGGCATTCAGTGGTTTCCTCACGCCCTCCTCTTCAGACCGCCCGCCATACTGCTCTGAACATTCGGAGTCAGCTATCGAGGCAACGAGGGAGTAGTCCCAAATGGATACGGGGAGGGGTGGGTCACAGTGTGGCTATAGCCTGTCTCGAAACCTGCAGCCTGCTCAGACCTTTGAGGCCCAGGCTACAGATAGGAGAGCTTTCTTCTGGAGGGGGTAAAGATCGTATCCGAAAGCTGCTTACGGTTCTTGAGCGAGGACAGGAACCAGCGGAGGACCAACAGGGCCCTCTTTGCTGGATCCGGAGATGCCGACGGGGCGACAAACAAGGACGGCCGCTCGGCCCAGAAGGCAGGTAGCTCGACGACAGACTTCGTGTCGAGGACGAAAGGTGGCGCGGTGATATTGGACAGATCGCCCTTGATCGATGCAATGGACGCTAGGAAGTCCTTCAGTGAAGAGGAGCTCTCTGATTTGAAGCCATTCTCGCCCATCTTGCCGGCCTCGATGGACTAATGCGGGCGCTGGTCGGCTTCTGATGATATTGCGGGCTCTAGATAGACAGGAAGATTGGGTCGCCCGCGGCTATCAGGCAAAGGACGGCAAGTGAGAGTGAAAGTGAAACTAGAGCTCCTTGTCTCAGAGCTTATGACGCTGAGACCGGGGCACGGCCTGCCAAGCACGCGGACACACTCGTCGTCGGCAGGGCCAGCAAATGACCACCCTAACCCTTTTCCCGTCATCAAAAGAAGTCAGTACAACCAAGCTGTATCTGCGGACTCGAAAGGCTACCCAGTGCTTCTGTGGACATCACAGAGGAACCCATCCAGTATACAAGGAAGCCCCTGGACAAGGGCCAAATGATGAGATGAGAACCTCGGGCCGAACTATCTGTGGGCTTATACCCTTCATGCCGGGTCAATACCCCTCAATTCGTGCAGGCATGCCTACGGCCTAAAGCAGAGAAGGTCGCAATAGATGTGGACTACTTGCTCTCGACCTCGCAGCACGCTCGTCCTCAGCCCTACCTAGGTGCCCTATGAACGGTGGTAACGGTGGTGACTCGTGCTGCCGACGGTTAAATCGCGCAGTGGCCTCCCCGATGCGGAGTCCAGGTGAGAGCCGGTGCTTAGGGGAGGGTGTCCACATGCGTTATAAAATACTTGAATTTGACATAGTATACATCCAGTGCGTGCTGACTGGACCCAGACGTGCAAGGGCCTCTTCCGATCTTATCCAGCGGTCTACCAGCGCCCAAATTTAAAATGGACCGCAGGCAAACGGCCAGACTGCATAGGGTGGTACTACTGCTTGACCTCCCATTCCGGCGTGCTGGCCCTGACGCAATTTTCTCTCGGGCTCCATCCGCACTGAGCCCCCCCCCCCCCATGGGGCGGTGGGGAGAATGGTGGAGGATTTCGCGGGGTCATTGGCCGACCTGCACAGCCGAGCCACTCCCAGCCCTGGCTCGGGAGAACAACGGAAGAGCACAAGGTCACTAGGCGTGCAGGTTCCTTTTAAAGTTGAGATGATCTCTGGAGGCTTCATGGGCCCATTGCGGGCACCTGGTGCCATCCTGACGCCTTCGTGACATGGAACTCCAGGACCTGTAGACCGCACTTATCCATCGGGTGCTGGCATACGTACCCGTCCCGTCCACGCCGATGGTCAACATGCCAGGCCTCTGGCCCTCCACGCCTGTATATAATGTCTTGTCCGTGTCCCGGTAGAGCCTTTGGAGCCTCTCCTCAGACTCACTCACCTCGTTCCCAGTCGTCGGGCCTGGAGTAAAGTTCGCTTGTAATGTACTGGTTCGACCTCACACTGCTGGCCGCCCTGGCCCAGTGTACGACCGCTTCATGACCTCGGTCTGCTGGGAGCCAATATGTCGTTAGGGACAGCAACAACAGCTCGGCAGGGCCTTCAAGGAGCCGCTGGCCGAGTGGTCTACATCTCGCTGTTGACTGCTACCCATCACAATGGCCAGAGTCCGTGTGGGAGCCGGACATCGCGGCCATGAAAGACCTCAACATCTCGTACGTCCGCATCAATGAGTTCGACTGGGCCGTCTTGGAGCCGGAGGAAGGCATGTACGACTGCTCTCTGCTTGATAAAACAATTGAGCTCCTGGGACGGTACGATTTGAAGGCCGTCATTGGCACACCAACCGCCTCCCCTCCGGAATGGCTTGTCAACAACTACCCGAGTACCATGTTCGTCGACGTCACCAACACCACCTATACCTTCGGCTCTCGCAGATACTACAGCTTCAGTTCATTTTCGTATCGCGAGCTGAGCCAGAACATCACGCATGCTCTTGCCAAACGCTACGGGCGCAATCCGACGGTCGTGGCATGGCAGCTGGACAACGAGTTTGGGTGTCACGGCACGGTGCGGACGTACGACCCAGATGCTGTTAAGCGTTTTAGGACCTGCTGTGTATGGAAAACAAAACGTTACCCCCCCCTGTCGTCTTGGTCAGCTGTCCCCCCCCGCACCAAAATTTGGCTGTGGAAGCGAAATACGCACTAAGATTACCAAGGACACCCTTATTAATATCATTATGCACCCAATTTAGCAAAAAAGAGGTTATCATAACCCCATTTTGCATATATCTTTAAAATAATTAAGAATAGCAGAATTAACTTAAGCCCATTATATTAAGGGGCATATGCTTTATTAACCCTAACCTAAGGTAATTATAACTTATTTAAATTAATTAATAACTTATTTTAACAACCCTTAAGAAGCAAAAGCCTAGCTATTGCAACTATATACTTATTTATAACGTTAAGTTATTTACTTTATTAATAAAATATATATTAATTAATTAATAACATTATTATATATAAAGAAGCCAATAGCGAAGATAAAGGCTGTTATTATTGCAAAATAAAAGCTAGCAGCCTAATTAAAGCCCTCTTAAAATAAGCAAACGGCTACTTAACATATTGCTTAACATGCCGCTAAGAATGTTAAGGAGGTTACCTTTAAAGACATTCTTAATAAAAATAACGCTTTAAGCAGCTTAAATAAAGCTAAGGGTGCCCATACTAATTAAGAAATATTAAATATATTTAAATTATTATTATTAACTAATAATATTAAGGGTAATAATATTAAGGAGCTAAAAAGCTATCCTTTATTAAGAAAGTTATTAAGGAAAGCATTTTTAATATTATATATAAAAATTACTAATATAAAGGCTTTTTTAATGCCGTTAATAAAGTAATAAAGCTTTAAGTTTAATAATAATAAATATAAAGCTTTTAATATTAATTTATTACTTAATAAGCTTTTTTTTAAAATAAAGAATTAAGTTAAGGCTAAGCTTATTAATATAAGGGATATAATAATTAAGCTATTATAAATCTTATTTAAGGTAGGTTGTTAGCTATAAATAAGAATATTCCTAGTTTAGTTAGGTATGGCAAGGAAAAATAAAAGGCATCCTAAGGGAGAATTTCTTAGCAATAAGATTATAAAGATATTTTTATTAAGCAAGGGTCTTTATTATCTTATAATTATATATACTTATAAAGTAATATTCTTAGTAATATAAATAACGCTCTATGGCATTATAATATTAAAGCAATTAAGTATTAAGATTTTTAAGCCTTCTTTATTAATAAGGTTAATGCCTAGCCTAGCAAATAGTTTGCTAATAGCTAAGCGCTTAAAAAGTATCTTTTTAATAAAAAAGTTATCATTATCTTAAAGCTCTTAGGAAGGGTTAATTATTGCTTATATAGTAATTATAATAAATGGTAATTAATTACTTATTTTTAAGGCTTATAAAAAGCTAATATAAATATAATAATGCTTTAAGGGTCCTTATTATAAGGTTAATTATTGTTATTGCAATAAGGGGAACTTTTTATAATAATAATGCTATATTAAGAAAAATGGCATGTATATAAATATTATTAACGTTAATTTAAATTTATAAGTATAAGTAATAATTAATAGTAAGGTTGCCGTTTAAGGGCCTTTAAAAGAGCTTTTTATTAAGTAAATAAATGCTGTTAAAGCTAATAAAAGTAATAAGAAACTTAGTAATAATGGTATTAGCCTTATATATAAGCAAAAGAAGCCTAAAAAGGGCAATAAGCAAAAGGAAAGTAGTATTAATATAATGGTTAACCCATTAATTAATTTTCACGCCCTTGGCTTTGCATATAGGCACTTAGCAATGCCGCCGTCGGCGCTATTAGCGCCTTTATCGGCATACCTATTAAGGGGCTTTAAAGGGCTGCCAATACTACCAACGCTAGCAGCTTTTCGCCTAGGCAGCCCTATACGCTATTATTAACTACTTATGCTTTCATTATTGCTGCCATAAGTACTTAATAATTAAAAGGCTCTTAGCAAAGACTTTATATTTAAGGCCCTATAAAAGCATTTTTATATATTAATAAAGAAAAGGTAATTAATAAAGTTGCAAAAGATTATAAAGCATAAGGGCGTTAATCTCTAAGCTTTGTACTTAAAGGAGGATATTTAATTTAATAAAAAGGGCTTAAATAATATTAAATTAATTAAAAGGCTTATAAAGCCGTACTTAAAGAAGAAAAAGGACTTCTTTAGGCTTTTTAAGAATAATAAGGAGGAAGAAGACTTGCTGTCGTTATTAGCGTTAATATAGGATGAAAATCATAATTTTTAATAAGCGAAAAGCCCCTTAATATTAATTAGTAATGTATTAATATTAAAAAGTAAATTTAAGGCGTTTTTTAATGGATTTTAAGCGTTTAATTAACGTTATTTGCGAAAGAGTAGTATAGTTAGCAAAATAGTTAATAAAGTAATTATATGTAAAAAAAAAATATTTTTTTAAATATTTAAAAAGTTAATTAAGAAAATTAAGTATATTCCTTATAATAAATTATTAAATATCTTTCTTTAATTATTTTATTAACATTTTTTTTTTGCCAACTTGCCTATTATTAAAAAACTTGCTATAAATAACCTTATTGCAATACTCTTTTCTTTTTACTAATATTGCTTTTTTTACCCTTCTTTTAATTATATGGTATCTTTATTACCCTTTATTGCTATTACTACCCTTAAATCTCTTCTTTAATATATATATATAGCGGAAATATCCCTTAATTGCCTTTATATACCAACCAACCTTTAAAGTGCTTAAGTATAAAAAACTTATAAATTTCTTATTATTATTATAGTTATTTATCTTATATTAATATTAATAATAAATATACTTTTTTAAATCCTTAAAATACGCCTTAATTAAGTTAAAATTAAGGGAATACGGCGGTAAATATATTACTTAAATACCCCTTGCCTTAATAGCTATATAAATAACGTAATTATAATGCTATAAGGTATTATTTATTATAAGGATTAATTAAGAGCTTAAATAAGCATTTATTTAAAGGAAAACCTTTTTAAGAAGCTATATTAAAAAGAACTTCTTTATTATATGCTCCTTATATATTATAACGTTAAGAAGATTGCTAATTATAATTGCTAATAGTAAATAAAAGCAAGCGCCTTATTTAAAAAGACTCTTAACTTAAGAAGTATACCTTAATAATGCCCAGCCTATTTTTCTTATATTATTACGCTTATTAAGTCTTAATTTATTATAAAAGATAAATATCTTAATAATATGCCATAGCTTAAAGATTTTAAAAAGATAATAGCTTTAAAGGTCCTTATTGCATTGCTAAGCCAATATATATACCCATTTATTAATTTAATTATATGCCTTAAGGGCCTTTGCAATAATTAATATAATAATATTAATTTAATATACCTTTATAAAAAAGCATTGCATTTTATTAAAATATATATTTAACTTATTAAAAAGAAGATCTTTAAGCTTTTATATAGCGATAATTAGGCATTAATAATGCTTAAAGGGCTTGCTATGCTAAAAAATATTACGTACTTTTAAAGCCCATTACTTTAGTTTAACAGCATTTAACGGCATTAATAAGGGCATGTTAAGGGCTATAATATTCATTATTATAACCCTCTTTTAATATCATTAAATCATTATTTTACTATAGCGAAATTTAGCTTGCAGCTACTTATTTAATAGCGATAAGTTTAAGCATAAATAAAACTGCAATATCTGCAGTTATATAAAGGTTAGCTGCATTATCACAGCCTCTCTTTTGCTAAATTAGGTATGCAGCGATAATAACGAGGTTATCCTTGGTAATCTTGGTGCATATTTCGCTTCCACAGCTAAATTTTAGTGCGGGGGGGGACAGCTAACCAAGACGACAGGGGGGGGGTAACGTTTTGTTTTCCACACACAGTGGCTGCAAAACAAGTATGGAACGGTCGACGCCATGAATGCCGCTCAGGCCGGGGTCTTTTGGTCGAACCAATACCATTCATTCGACGACGTCTTGCCGCCCTATCTCAAGGTATACACAACTAACGAGCTGGAGACACTCGACTTTTACACATTCTCGTCGGACATGGTTGTTGGGTTCGCCAAGGAACAGGCACAAATCCTCCGGGAACATGCCCCAGATCAAGCCATCACAACCAACTTCATGATGCAGTTCACCGACTTTGATCATTACAAGTTCGCCAAGGAGGTCGGCGTCGATGTTACTACGTTTGATCAGTACGCTCTTGCTGGCCCTAGTCAATATTCATGGCTGTCGAGCCAAGACCTCTTCGACACACTCCGCACGGGGCTTCCAGACTACCAGGCCTTGCACCATGCTCTGTACAGGGGCATCGCGGGCGCTGCATACGGTGAGACCCAAGGACCTTTTGGAGTGATGGAGATGGAGCCTGGAGTACTAAACTGGAATTCGGCGCGCGTGTCGCCGTGGGACGGCATGGTCCGCCTGTGGACTCTTGAGACATTCGCCGCGTCGGGCGATATCGTCGACTACTTCCGCTGGCGCCAGGTGCCATATGCACAGGAACAAACCCTCTCTGGTCTTCATATTTCAGACGGAAGCCAGGACGAGGGCTATTTCCAAGTGCAAGATGTTGCGGCGAATGACCTTCCGATCCTACGTCAGGAATTCGGGGCAAACAGCACACATGAGCCTCAGGGTGACGTGGCCGTGGTCTACGACTATGCGTCTATGTGGACCTGGGCTATTGAACCACTTGAGCATACAGTGGAAGCTGGGACGTCAAGTCTTCGTCCTACACAGACACGGGGCTGAATTACGCAGAACATAGCGTATGCTTTCTACTCGGCTCTGCGACGGCTCGGCTTGTCCATCGACGTCATCGGGCCAGAGCAGAGCCTGTGTCAGGGAGTTCTGCAATAAGAGGGTTGTATTTGGTTTCTGGTTGTGGTTTTGTTTAAGTTTATGCCGAAGGGCTAAGGGGCTAAGAACTACCTATTAATGCCCATAAAGGGTTTATATAATGCTCCTTCCTTATAATTTACCCCTTTTAAAAAATAATGGCGTTTTTATAGCTAATAAATAATTTTAAAAGGTGCATTTAATAAATTAATTATTTTATATTTTATCTTTTAAGTAAAGCATTAAGCTTAAATTATCTTTATTTTCCTTAACATGCTTTACTAATAAGTAGCATATATTAATAAGTAACGCACTTTTACAACTTTTGCCAACTTTAATTAATCTTAGCACTTACTTAATGTAAATATTTTAATTAAATTTAATATTAATTAGTGCCAATTATAATTAAATCCTTATTTTTAATTAATTTTATTAATTTAAAAGTGTTAATATAATTATAATATTAATTTAAACTAATTAACTTTTAATGGAAAACATGTATTTAACATTATTTAATGTTAACTATACCCTTAAAAATATAATTCGCTATAAATTAATAAAATAGCTATATTTATATTAATTAATGCTAATTAAGCTAAATTTATTATAATATAATTAAAATTTAATTAACTAAACCCTTTTTTATCTTTTTTATAAGTTCTTATATTATGTTTAATTTTATTGTAATTATTATAGCATTTTTTAATTAATTTATTGCAAACTAACTTTTTTATTTTATTACTTATTTTATTAGCTAATTACTTTACCTTTTATTTCTCTTAAATAAAAGCTTAAATTTCCTTAATTATAAGTACTTCTTTAAGCTATACTTAAATTCTTTTAGCTCTTTAATATTTAATGAGTATTATATTAATATTTTAAAATATATAAATTTATTTACTTATTATAATAAGTAAGTATATTATTATTTATATACTTTTTGTTAATTAATTAATAACCTTTATAATTAATATAAGAAAGCTTTCTTAATAAGTAAAGATTTTATTCTTAATAAAACTTAATTATTAAATAATTTATTAAGCATTTAATAATATTTAAAACTTTTATTTTTAAAATAAAATAAAAAGGGATTATATTAAAGTTTATAAGTAAATATTAAGCTTAAAAATTATAAAATTAAGGTTTTAAAAAGAAATTTTAACTTTTTTAAATATAAATTTAATATTTTTTATTATAAAAATCTTATTATAAGCTATCTTAAATATAAGAAAAAACTTAAATTTAATAATATAATTAATAAAGGCTTAAATAAAAAGGTTAATTTTATTATTAAATATATATTTTAAAGATAAATATAATGTAATATTTAATAATTAAAATAAGTAAAATAAATATAATAATATATTAATAATAATAATTTTATTATTTTTATAATATTAATTAAACTTAATTAATATATAACTTTTATAATTATTTATAATTAATATTTAATAATTAGCATTTTTCTTTAGCTTAATATATTTATTAAAATATTAAATTTATTTTAAATTAATTTTATTATTTATTTATTTATTAAAAATAAGCTTAATAATTTAATTATTTAAAAACCTTAATTTTATTACTTAATTAATAAAATAATAAGCATTTTAAATAATTATAAATAATAAAATTTATAATTTATTTATATTAATATATTTAATAATAATTACTTATTTTTAATTATTAAGCTAAATTAATTTAATCTTTTTATATTTATTAATATATATAATAATTATTAATAAGGTAATTATATTTATTATAAAGTTAATTTTATTTAAATTATAAAGATTATTATTAATAATTTAATATTTAATTATTATATTATAAAATAATTTAAATTAATTCTTAATAATTTTTAAATCTTTATAAAGAGCTTTTTAATAATTATAAAAATAATTAAACTTAATTTTAAGGCTAAATTATTAATTTATAAAGTATTAAGCTTAATGCTTATTAATAAGTTTAATATTTTATAATATTAATAAAAAGTTAACTATATTTTTATATTAAAAAGTTATAAGGGGAATTCTTAAATATTTTAATTAATAATATATTAAATAAATATTTATTTTTTAATTTAATTAAGTTTATATATATTAATATATAATTATTTATAAAAGCATTATTAATTTATTTTATAATAAAGTATAATTTTAAAAATATTAAAGATTTATATAATTTTATATAACTTAAAAGGTTTAATATATTTTTCTTAAAAGTATTTAATTACTTAAGTAATTAAAAGTATTTTATTTTTTTTAAAAGGTTTTAATATTATAATTATTAATTTTTAATGCATTAAATATTTAAATAAGTAGATAAATAAGAAATTAATATAAAAAGTATTAATGTAATTTTTATTAAAAAATAATCCCTTTATTAAAACTTAATTACTTTTATTTAAGTTATAATTATTTATATTACTTTAAATTAAGTAAATTAATTAAAAATAAAGATTTAATTATAATTAGTATTAATTAATATTAAATTTAATTAAATTATTTATATTAAGTAAGTGTTAAGGTTAATTAAAGTTAGTGAAAGTTGCAAAAGTACGCTACTTATTAATATACGTTACTTACTAGTAAACCACGTTATAATTTTTATTTTTATTCTTTAAAGCATTAAAGTTATTTTAAGATTTATTTTATAATTTATTATATTCCTTATAATTAATTATTTTTATATTTTTATTTAATTTAAAGTTATTTATAAAAGCTTTTAGTTTAAAAATATATTTATTATTAAATAATTTAATAATAATATTTATAATATTTTAAATAATAAGAAAAATATTAAATTATTTATAATTATTTTAATAAATAAAGTATAATAATTATTTTTTAAAGTATTAATTTATTTATTTTTCTTAATTAATTAATTTTTTAAGTTAATAATATATATAATATTAAAATTAAATTATATTTAAAGTAACTTTTATTAAAACTTTAATTTAATATTTTTTAATTATAATTTTATAATTTAAGCTTATTATTTATTAACTTTAATAATAAATTTAATATTTTTTATTTTATATTACTTATATTTTTATTATTTTATTAAAGGTAAGAATGCTATTAATAAAGAATATAAATTAATATTAATATATTTTATTATAAATAAGGAAAGTAATATAAATTAAACAGTTATTGCATTTTTAATTATAAATATAATAAGTTATAAAAATATATTAAACTTTATTTTCTTTAAGTTATATTATAAATTTATTATAAATATTATATTAAATTTTTTTTAATTAATTTTTTTTAATAAATTATATTTTTAAATTTAAAATAATATAATATAAATATTAAAATTATTATTAAAGAAGTAATTATTAAGAAAAGGTAGTTTTTTAAGTAAGTTTTTTTTAATTTTATTATATATAAATTTAATAGCTTTACTGTTTTTATTAAAATTGTTTTTATTTAAGGATTTTTTAAATTTAAATTAAAATTTAGCTTAAGAAAAAGAAATATTATAACTTATTATATTAAATAAATATTATAAAGAATATAATAAAGTTAAGACTTTTTTAATTAATTAGTTTATTTTTATATTTATATAAAAAAAGTATTAATTAAATTTTTTATTAATAATATTTTATAATTTATTATAAATATATATTTATTACTTATATTTCTTCTTTTTATACCTTTTAATAAATTATAAAAGTTTTTTATTATATTTTTATTTTTATATTAAGTAAATAAGAGTAAAGAAATTTATAATTTTATTAAATTTATTAATTTTAATATTATTAAAATTAAGAATTATTTATAATATAATATATAAGTTTCTTATATATAATACTTATTAAGCTAATTTAATTATTTTAATATATAATATTATTAATATTTTTAATTTAAGGCTTTAAATTTTAAAAAAGATTTATAGCTTTATATTTTACTTTAAATTTATATTATTTAAGTTTATTTTTAAATAGCTTTTTACTTTTATTTTTTATTATTATTATTATTAATAATAAGCTTAAATTATAAGGCTATTTTAAATATATCTTTTATTAAATAAAAATAAATAAAAAAATAAAAAAGAAGAAAGAATTTATAATTCTTAAGAAAAAATTAAAATTATGCTTTAAGTAATATTATATTTATTTTATTTTTTTATGTAAAGGTTTTAAGTAAATATTATTATAAGTTATTAATAATAGTTATTAATAGTAATTATTAATAATAATTATTATATTAAGTTTATAATAAATAGTTATTTATAAGTGAATTTATTAAATAATAATTATGCATTAAGTTTTAATTATAGCAAGGTTATTTATTTTTAAAGTTTAAGTTTTAATTTAATATATTTAATAAAATATTTTATATTCTTTAATTTTAAGTATTATTAATTAATTATATGCTTTATATAATTTTGAATTTAAATAAGTTTAATTTAAGGTATATTTTAATTAAATAAATTTAAAGAGTATAATTTAAAGTAATTAATAAAAATAATATTATACTTTAGCTTTTATATATATAAAAAGTTAAATTAGTATATAAAATAATTAATTCTTTTTATAATTTTAAAAGGGCTTATATATTATGGCTTATATTTATAGTTAATATTTTATAAAATTTTATATTTTTTATATAATTAAAGTAATACTTATACTTTATATTTAAAAATTATATAAAATATTATTTATTAAAGTATGCTTTTATTATTATTATTATAAATATTAAGGCGTTATATATATAAATATAGCTTTAAGGAAAATTTAATAATTAATAAAGTACTTAATTTATAATAATATTTAAGATATTATTTAAGGTAAAGCCTTTAATAATTTTATTTAAGGAAGTCTTAATTACTTAAGATTTATTATAACTATCCAACTAGCTTAGCGTACTAAGCCGATGCTGCTATGGGAGTTTATAAAAGTGCGCCTAAAAGAGTTGCGAAAAAGACGCAGCGAACACTTAGCTACTCATCCTTAATTATAACAACCTTATTTAGATAAGTAATAATAGGAGCCGAAGACTTTATATTAAAGGTCTTAA